GTTTGGGAGGCTGCTCTTTGTACCTGGAAGAGTGGAAAATGGTTGTTGTTGCTAAGATGGGCTTGCCAGTTTGATGAGCTTGAGACTGACTCATGATCATAAAGATGCAGCTTCATAAAGTGAAATATTCATTTATATTCCATTATACGAGTTTTTTTATGTCAGTTTGTTGTTATAATAAGACTCTTGATGTTCTGTTCTACAAACCATTTGTTGACAGTCATGTCCGATTGTCTGTCTATTACATAGTTTCAGGTTGTGTCCTGCAACCTCAAGCATCAATCCGTCATGCTACTGAAGTTCATTTGAGAACTTAGTCTAATCTTGAAGTCCTTGCTGTCTTCCCTTGTGATCTGGGCATGACCTTTCTCTGTTTTGCTGGGGCTTTGATTGCTGCTAAAGCTAAATATATGCAACTATCCTAGAGATTCCATTTTATTGCAAAGTGTCTGGATAATTTAGCCTCTTCTTATATACTGTAGATGCTTTGAGATCGTGTGTCAATTTTCATATTGTATGCGATATAGAACCAAAACTCTCTAGATCTGTCAAAATTAGAACAAAGGCCTTCAGAAACTCCACTATCCCTCTCCATTTATGACCCAAAAAATGGCCAAGGATGAGATCAATGAGCTTCTTTCTCGATTTGTCTATGTAGATACCACTATTTACTATAAGCTCTGCCACGACAAACCTTGTGGATGCCAAGTTAACTGAGTCAACTCCCACGGCTGTCTCATCTCAGGGCACCATAAAGAAAAAAATTAGAGGACTCTTTAGCATGAGAGAATGCAGTTCCAATAATCTTGCCATGCAAAAAACGCCACATGGTGAGAGACTTTTGTTTTCCAAATGGGCTTCCAAGGAATACAATCTAGATTCTGGTCTTGACCCAGGAGGGAGAAATAGAAAGTTTTGACAGAAAATTTGTCACTCTTTGGACAGCTTACATATAAGTCGATTGCATGGATTTTTCTGAGGGTTTCCTCAACGAATTGGGAGGCTATTTTTTAAGTTTGAATTATGTTTTTCTCTCTTTCTTTTTTCTTGTTCTCGATTGTCTTCTTTTTTTATCATCCCCCTTTGTTTTCTTTTCCTCACCTAATACCTTCTTTCCTATAATTGAGGCAATTGCATAAATGAAGTTCTTTGATGTGGTTAGGCATATGCTTTAGAAATCTGCCGTAAAGAATATCAAGCTTTGGGAATGTCAGTTGTAAGATATTTCTCCTTCTTTTGATTATGATGACATCTACAAGTAAGATACTTCATTCATGATATTTAGAAGTTTGTTTCAGATTAGCACATCATGGGGCATTGGATTAGTCATTGGCCCAGCTATTGGAGGTTTTCTTGCGCAGGTACTGTTCTTTTTCTTGTAGATTAGGTGATATTTAAATGATGAAAAGCTTTGTCTATGCAGTGTTAATATCATTTTCCATCAAGATGTTAGTGGTAAGAGTAAAAAGTAATTTGCTTGATGCTTGTCTGGCAAAGATAACTGATAAATTTCCAAGGAATAAATTGAAATCTTTAGATTTTCTATGTGTGCTGTCCTAATAAAAATATTGTGTCTCACATGCTTGATTAAGGCCTGTGGAACATGGTGCAAATATTACTGATCTAACACCAAAGGAAGAAAATCTTCATTCTTCATCCACTCGTTAACCCCACGAAAAAAACTGTAATGATTGTTAAGATCAAGGAGAGATAGTATTGCTTTTGGCATTGGTCTGCCTCCAAAATTCCTTTTATTTTGATAACATGGTTCAGGGGAACAGGCATGCAGGGAGGATTTGGTCTCTTTTTTAAATCATGGCCATTTATCCAAAAATTTTGCTGATCTAAGATGGCATTATTGAATATATAATTTAATCTTTAAGGAACATTTGTATGCTAATCCCTTATCTTTTCATGATTAGAATTGAGAGAGGATACATGCATACCAGATCTCCATTTGTTTCAAAATTTGGCTTAGGTCCTGTTACTTTTACATAGATGGTCATTGATGGTCAATGTGTTATCTTTCCTGGTTAAGTATCGAGTTCCCAGACAATTAATCACAAAGTTATTTTCTAGTAAAGGATTAATACTCTTATTTTTATTACGAGTGACCTATTTTATGAAAATAGATTACAACTCATCAGAAAAGTTAATATTTTAAATAGCTAGCATACCCCTTTAAATAGAGGTTTCAATTCTTATTTAATAATCTCAATTTGATTAGAAATTTAAATTTAATTAAAAATATTTTATTAAAATATTGAAAATCTTATACTATTTAGAAATACAATACTAATGGGAAATTATATATTGTTTAGAAATTTAATAATAATTAAGATTCTATATTTATTATTTAAAAAATTTAATACTAATAAAAAATTATATACTATTTAGAAATCTAATAATAATTAGAATTCCATGTTTAATTGAACTTTAACCTCCTCTTTAGGCGTTGTTTTACCTCTTGCTGCGTCTTCCATATTTATGTTTTACAAATGCATTCATGACATTACTCCCCTCTTGGTCTTCAAGATTGTCCTCAAACTTAAAATGTGAATATAGCTGACTCATCATTTTTTTTTTTGTTGCTTAAGACTAGTGTCGCATTCAATCTTAAGGTAGAACAATCGTTTACATTAGTGACCCAAAACAAACGGTTTATTGTAGTTATAACACAATCCATTTGACCTCATTTATGCCATCTCTGCCTTTGTTAGTTTCTTATAGAGAGGAAATGTTACCAGATTATGTCATAACATTGCTACCATGTGGAGCTGTTGTTTTCTGAGTTGAATTATTAGACTTAGTTACGGACTAAGAAGGGTCACTATAATTGTGTTTGGTCAAAAGTTCTAGCCATACTTATTGCGTATATAAGAGTAGTGAGTGATTGTATCTCAACCTCTAAACAAAGAGAATCGATCAGTCCTACTGTGAACAAATCGGTTTGTTGATCATGGTGTACAGTAGGGGCTCGGGCTAGCAACATCTGAAACTATCGTTGATACTCCTCAGTCGAGCTCGTTTGTTTAAGGTTGACCAATTCATCCAATAAGTTGCTTTGCAGGGACTGTCCAAATTGTAGGGTGCAATATTCCACGAATGTTTTCTATATTATGTCCAACTCTTCCTCCTGTAGTTTATAATATCAAAAGTTGAATTTCTCCTAACATGTGAAAAGCTGCTTGACTAACCTTGTTGGAGGCAGCAGTCCGTTGATTAGTAAAAAATTGCTCGCATCAATTGAGGCATATCAAAAGTTCTTTTGTCTTGTCATAGATGGGAAAGTCCAACTCGGTGTAACGTGAGATAATTCTTCTGTTTACTAGCTTTGCGTTTGTATTGCGCGATTTGACTAGTTGTCAGCCTAACCGATTGGACTCTGTGGCTATTGTCCGCATCAATTCCGCCCTCTAAATCCCTGCCGCGTGACTAGGTGACTATCTGAAGAAGAGTCTCCATCTACTGAAATAGTTGTCGCAACATAAAATCCATCCGGACCTCTGATTCAGCTAGTAGATTTTTCAGTTCCTCGTGCAATCCTTGCTCCCCCGTGATGTTTAACTTTAATACCAAATTATTATGTTTCTTAGTTAAGGATCAAGTCACTAGGCGATTAACTACAAAGTCGTCTTCGAATAAAGGATTAATATCTTATTTTTATTACGAGAACGACCTATTTTGTAGAAATAAATTACAATTTATCAAAAAGAATATACTATCTTGGATTTCATTAGAGAGAACTTCAATCTTATAATTTGAGATAAAATCTTACTTGTTTTTATTAATAGTAAGCATACCCCTTTAAATAGATATTACAATTCTTATTTAAAAATTTTAATCTAATTAAGAATTTAAGTTTAATTAGGAATATTATTTAGGAATCTAATACTAATAAAAAATTATATACTATTTAAAATTTTAATATTAATTAGAATCTCATGTTTAGTATTGACAAATCTAATATTAGTAGGAAATCATATATTATTTAGAAATTTAATACCAGTTAAGATTTCATGTTTAATTGAACTGAATTTCAACCTCCTATTTAGGTGTTATCTTGCCTCTTGTCGCACTTTCCATATTAATGCTCAACAAATTTGTCCGTAATACAATGTTTCTATTCATTATGCAACTAAGTGAAGGGGGCTTATGAGGCAATAATTGTACCATTTACCTCTATACTCCAATTTCATCTCAGTGAACCTCACACAATGTAAATTATTAATTTTGGTTCATAATATTCCCTTCATTTGTATCAAGATTCTGAATTTTAAATCAACCAATGTTGATTGTTTTTATATTTTCAATATGCAGGCTGCAGAGAAATATCCTACTATATTTTCTAAAGGATCTCTTTTTGGGAGGTAAGAAGGGTTCTTCTATTTTTTTTTTTTTTTTTTGGTTTTCTTTTTATTTTTTGGTGTTGCTATAATTTGCACTATTGCTTCAATTTCTTGTTTGTCTGTATGTGCTAATTTTTCCAAACTTGAATGCTCCTGTAGGTTTCCGTACTTCTTACCTTGTCTTTTGATATCAATCTTTTCTGCGGGTGTACTTGTCATCTGTTGTTTGCTTCCGGTAGGTTATTTGGCCTCAATTTTCTGTCCTTTTTAATCTTTTTCTCACAAGCATTTCCAATATCTGTCTGATATTAGGTCAACTTTGTACCGTCATCTTGGGGTCTGAATTTGACAGGAAACTTTGCACAATCATCAAGAATATGACAAAGAATGTGTTGACTCAGTTGATGCACCAGAGGGCACTGCCAATGAGTTTGATTTGACTGAGAAGGTGCAATTAACTGGAAGATGTCCAACTTCTAAGCAAAGTCTTCTGAAAAATTGGCCATTGATGTCATCTATTATTGTGTATTGTGTTTTCCAACTTCATGATATGGCATATGCAGAGGTAATTTTTCATGTTCAAACTTTTCACTATTATTTGAATAAGGATTTCCTTCCTTCTTTCATGTTTGGTTGTAGTAGAGTTTTACTTAATTTCGTGATTTTCTTTGTGAATATCTGCAATAGTAGGCAAGAGCATAATGTTCAGCTGACAATGCCTCTTTTATTGGATTTTTGACAACTGAGATCAAATCTTACTCTCATCATGTCCCAAAAAATCTGCAATGGTGCACTCATTGCTGACCAAAGATCGGCTAATGTTTGCATTTATAACTTCAGCGTCTAAAAATATCAGTTTATTTGCATTCTTTAATACTTTGGCTACCTCTTCTTTTCTAGATTTTCTCATTATGGGCAGTCAGTCCGAAGAAGAATGGAGGATTGAGCTATTCGACTGCAGATGTTGGTGAAGCTCTTGCTATTTCCGGTATTTTCATATGAAAAATCTTTGTTCCTTTGTATTTACAGTTGAATACTTCGTTGTTTAGTGTAATTGCTATTTTCTAGTTCTTAGATTTTTTCCCCCTGATTTTAATTTTTTAGCTTAACAAGTCTTAAATTTTCCAGGTTAAAACTTCAAATGAGGACAAATATACTCTAAAAGACTAGATACTAACAGATTTATGTAAATGAAAATTCAAACCACTGGTACTAAACAATCCGAGAAAAAATTACAGAAATTGAACTACAATTATTAAACTAAACTACAAAAGGGTGGGATTGTACTTTTATCCTTTTCCTTTTCCCTCCGGCATGGTTCCAACAATTTGCTTAATCTGCATCTAGTTATTTTTCAGTCACTAATATAGGTGGCCTTAATTATTTGACCTTTTTTGCACTTCACACTATTAGGTTTTGGACTGCTGCTCTTTCAGTTGTTTCTATACCCGCTTGTGGAGAAGAATTTAGGGCCTGTTGTAATATCTCGCATCGGGGCAGTATGTGTTTTGGCACATTTGACATTTAGATGGTGATCTTCTCATTCCTCCTATAAATGACATTTTGCTGAATAATTTATTCTTTGTGAAGCTGGTAACCATGCCGCTGCTATCCAGTTACCCATTCATAGCTACATTAACAGGCCTCAGCCTCGTGCTGCTAGTTGACTCTGTATCTGTACTGAAGAATGTGCTGGCAGTAAGTGTATGAGATATCTAAGAAAGCTTTTGAGGAATGGAATCTAGTGAACATTGCAACTCCAAACTTGCTTAACACTAAATTCCTTTTCACAGGAGCTGATAAGTAAAAAGAAAAAGATATTGTATTGAAATGTCAAGATATATATATATATATATATTACTGTCAGTCATTACAGATTTGATCTTCCTATTCTCTATGATCTTTTTTTAATGTATTCAGGTATCGATCACTACGGGGTTGTTTCTTCTCCAGAACAGAGCTGTGGTAAAATATTTGCCTATTTGCCATCTGAAAAATTTACACGAACATCTATGCATGTTCTTGATTATAAGTTTTCTGTATGCAATTCTCTCTTTTTAAGCAACTTGATAAAGTAAGCTGCTTTACACTGAAATGCTTTATGTTACTTCTGTATCAGACACAAGAGCAAAGAGGAGCTGCAAACGGAATTTCCATGTCCGCTATGTCCCTTTTCAAAGCTATTGGTCCTGCTGCAGGAGGCTCTCTGTAGGCATTTTGTTGATTTAATTTTCTGTTTATTCACACTTATTCTACAAGGTTTTCTTATTTTATTTTGCAGCTTTTCTTGGGCACAAAAGCGTCAAAATGCTTCATTTCTTCCAGGTACAGACGTACCTCGTGTGTGCTTAATTCTCTACATTTGTTATTTTTTATTGAATAAAAAATTTTTACCCATTTTTTCTTTTTCGGTAAAAAAATAATTCAATCTATTATTAACATTAAATCTTAACATAGAAAAATTTAGAGGTTCGAAACTAAGTTATCGAGTTCTAGTACGGTATCATATTAAATAAATAATATATCGAAATTACCAGAAATTTTTAACTTACAGAAAATGGCACAATGTACTATTTATATTGTATGTTAATAGTTCTTTTTTTTTTTTTTAAATTTTTCTGGCAAGTGTTTTTTAAGAACAAGATTCATGTAATTATCTGATCATGTTCTACAGGGGATGAAATGATATTCGTCATCCTGAATGGGATCGAGGTTGTTGGATTGGTGATGACATTTAAACCATTTCTAGCTCTACCAGATGATGGTGAATCATAGCTCAAACTTCAGACAGATGCATGCAACATCCACTTCATCTTCAATTTTACTATAGACATTAACTATTAAACTGATCTTTTCTTTTTTCCAGTTAAATTTATTAAAAGAATAGGTAGTACTTTTTCTAAATGAATTTTCTAATATAGCAGAAGGAAAATAACTTGTTACAGCGGGAATGATAGATGTTACACAATCAGATTTTGTGAAGAATTTGCAACTGAATTTAAGTGAAAAACAGGTGAAGATCAAGAAAGATTATGATGAAATTTGTAAAGAAGAAGAAGAGTGCTCGGGAAGCAAAAGAGAGAGTGAGGAGGAGGAGAGAACTCAGAAGTTTTGTAAAATGTAGAAAATGATAATGGCAAGTAAAGGGTGTTTACAGAAGGAGACTAATTACACTACATTTTTAGTTAATTATATCGAACACCAACTATTTATTCTAGCAAATTTTAAAGCAAGAAATCACTTGTGTATTTCTTGTTTCTGGTTTAATGCTATTTTGTTTTTATTCAAATTCTCTACTTTGAAATTTTGATTTAGAAGTTAATCATAATGAGTTAACATTTTCAATCATCTAGAGAACAATTAATTTAAAGTGGATGTAGAATCTATTTAAAATTAAAATGTTGTTTTTACTTAAAATTTTACTTCATTTATTTTTGTAGTTTTATTTCCAACTTCATGCTATTAAAATTTGAATCAAACTTATAGTCAGAAATTCAATTATGATTCACATTAACATAATCACATTAACTAATTTCAAATTAAATTTTTTTTTAAAAAAAAAAAACAATAAATATAACACTGAAATAGCTTAATTATAAGTAGAAATATGTTTTCAAACTCATTTTCGAAGCCCAATTGGGGAACAAAAGAATGAGAAATTTGATAGAGAGAGAAAGATTTGGAAAGAAGAATGTTACTACTAAACATTTCATTATATGTAATATACAAAAATATATATATATATATATATATATATCTTACAATCAAGAAGTCCACTTCAACCTCTTGCAATTGGCAATGCCTAACTAGATTTTGCTAATATAAATATAAATATATCTATCACTCTGCGTCCACACTTTAGACAGCAGACACTAGATTCTGCTCTTATCAGAGGATAGTCTAAAAATCTCTGCTGGAAATAGCAAATTCCAGAAACAATGAAATTGTTAGAAGCATTATTAACGGGACACTGTAATACAGTTGAAAGAGAAAAACAAAACAAAAAAAAAAGACAAACGTTGGAAGTCATGGAATAACTCAAAAACGCATAACAGAAAGGGAAATTTCCATTAGATATTTATAAAATTGTGGCAAAGCTATCTAAGTGGATTATCTCTTCTAGCCAAAAGTTTGAGAAGCATTTCTAAACTAGTAAACTACCCTATAGTTGGTCTTTTGCGACCAAATGATTCTGATGCTATTAGTTTTACTTTTAACTTATCTGAAATTGCAAAGCCTTGTGACTCCATCACGCCGCGTATCCTTTGAGCATCCTTGATAAATCCCCCAGCAGTCAGTCCATCTATAATCCTCTCAAACTCATTAGAAGCCAGTTGTTCCTTCTTAGCTTCCAAAACTCCAAGAGCTTTACGAGCTTTCTTCTCAAATCCTGCCCTTGAGTACATCTCGCAAAGGCTTACATGGATTTTAAATGGAGGAGCCTCACCCAGCTCTGCTATCTTCCCTAACAGCTGCTCTGCCTCATCAACAAGCTGCAACTTACCCAACCAATCAATAAGAACAGTATAAGTAGATGCACCAGGCTGGAATCCATCCCTCTCAAGCTGCAACAGTAGATATAAGGCCTTGTCTAATAAATTCTTTTTCTCATAAGCTGCAAGCATACTAGCAGTACACCTGTCATCAGGCTTGTGTCCAAGTTTTATCATGTGGTCAAAATTGCTCCTCGCTTGATCAGGGTCCCCAGCTTGCGCATATGCCTCGACAAGTAAAGTGCAAGACTCCAAAGTTGGCTGCAATCCTGCAAACTGCATAGTGACAGATATTCGTTCAGCTCCACTAACGTCACCTTGTTGGGCAAAGGACCGAAGAAGTGCCATGTATATCTCCTTTGAAGGTTTGATGTCTCTTGCCTCCATCTCCCTCATCAGTGACTCTCCTAACTTGGGTTGGCCAGCATTTACATAAGCAATGATCATCGAGTTATAAACATTCACATCAGGATGGAATCCATGGCTCCTTAAGTTTTCAAATGCTACTATAGCCCTGTCGATATTGCCTGCCTTGCTATACATGTGAACCAGAATTGCAGATATTATAATATCAGGAAAAATTCCATTTTCATTCATCTTCCTAAGAATTCGCTCAGCGTCTTCTATGCGGTTCTCTTTGGCATGGGCATCAATAAGTCTTGAATAGTCACGAACATTTGTTTCAAAAGATTTTTCATCTAAAATAAGTTCCGCCACCTACAAAAAAAAAATTAATTCAACATTACAACATCAAGAGAATGAATTCAACAAGTAGAAACTTCATGACTAGCCTGAATGAATGAGATTTCAAATATTCAATAAAAATTTGCATTCGAAACTAAGGGATGGTTGTTTGCAGAAGCAGAAAAGTATAAGTGAAAAGGAAATAGAATAACATTTACTTCTTAGTTATGATATTTGATTGTGTGGGACCATCAAGCTTATGTGGGAGGCTGTATAATATTCCTGTAGTTTAGCAACACCTCTTTAAACTATTACTGGTATATGATCATTACATAACTACAGGGTTATTGTATTGTACTAGTTTTTGTTTCTTTTTTTTTTTTCAATTTTGTTTTCCAATTGAGAGTCCCATTTTTCTAGTTGGTTCTCTTATTTAATATCATAGACATAATATGATGTTTAGACACCCTATAAATATATGGGTGATACTCTGTTTTATGCAAATTTCTTATGAAATAAAACCACGCAGATATTTTCCATTAATAAGTGCCTTCACAAGTCTGTGATTGTCTTGTGCCTCGATTGCTGTGATTTTGGATCACCAATCCATAATTGTGGATTGAATCTTTTCCTCTTTTTTTTTTTTTTATAATTTCAAAATCCTATTCCGTTGTCTGTACATAATCCAATTGTATCCTTAATGGTTAAATTACCAGAAAGAATCAAGTAATACTCTAGGTTAAAACAAAATCTAGCATTGGCATCCGAATACCAAATGACACCAAAACAAAACAATAGAAGCATGTAAGGAATAGAATGAAGCACTGATTGGTTGCTGAACCCGAAAGGTATTGAAGTAGATGAAAATACAAGAGAACTTATTTATCATTTTTATGACATTTAAATTTGCATCCCTAAACTACTGGAAAGGTGAAGAAACTAGGTGACAAGATTTATGGGTGCCCAAGTACCCAAAGGTAATAATAACATTGAGGTTCAAATCTTCCACAAAGCAAAAGATAGTAATATTTCAAAGCAATACTCAAAAGTAGGGAGAAAATTGATAAGCAAGAAGGTTTTTTCTTTTTGGTTGGGGCGGGGGGAGGGGAAGTAGGAACAGAACAAGGCGGCATTTCATTCCAAGTGAACATACATTTCCTGAGTACATTTTCAAGAACTTAAAAAGAGCAGCAACCAATGTGGTCTTAAATTACTGAATAATGATTAGGAACATCAGCAAGCAAGCAGATTTTACGAACACCGCATACAGATTATACAATGTCAAATATTTAATAATACCAAAATGAAGAGAAATGTTGCCAGCTTGAAAAATAACTTAGTGCGGTTAATGGCATACCTTTAAGAATAAGCCAATATTCTTTTCTTGTAATTTATCAAGCAAACTCATCCAGTCAACCTTGCTGGGTTGTACGAGATCAACCCATTCAGCCAGTAGTGGTGAAGGGTCATCTTCCATCTTTAGAGAAAGGATCTTATCCATAATCAATGCGCATTTCCCAGATATTGGCTTTGGTTCCTGAGGCCAATTAACCTTCCCTGTCTCGTGAATTTTATCAGCCACTTCAGCCCATTTAGGATCTGATAAGTCAAGCCCGTAAATCTTGTACCTAATCTTCCCATGTCTTTTGGGAAGGGAAACAACCTTAGCTTCCTCCTGTGCTGTAGCATCTTCTTCTGTGGTGTCTGCACTTTTTCCCTCCTCTTGCGCTTTTGCCTCCTTTTTAAGGCGTGCTAAATTCTCATAAAACTCATAATCCTCCATTTTCTCCCTAGCCCACTTGAACCTGAGCTCTCTCAACAGGTCCCCACGAATACCAGCCTCACCAGCAAACCTACACATTTCCTTAACTTCCTCAGATTGCAAAAGACGCTTCATCTTCTCCTTCTTTCTTGCCTTCTCCATATCCTCCGACACCATGACACTCACTTCCCACACCATTTTCCACAAATCTTCGCTGAAATCTTGCGATGTGTTGCTTACAGTAGAACCAACCATTTGCTGAAGGCCACCCTTCTCCATCTCATCCACAACCTTACCAACGATAATCAAAAGCATCCCATCAATAGTCTGTTTATCACAATCTGGGTAAACTTCTGATAACTTCCCCCGCATTATCCAAACAAATCGAGATAAAAACTCGTTCATAGTTCCATCCTGCTCCTCAGAATCACAGGAATTGAGTTTTGAATCCGCATTTGACTGCCTTACCATAGTAGAGTGAACAAATCTATGAAAGTGAAAGGAGGGTTTTGGGTTTTTACTGCTCAATAAGTAACTCAAACTAGATATTGATACAGTAAGCACAGACAAATTTCTATAATATATAGGCGTTGGAGAAAATAATGTTCCACTAGCTCCGGATAAATTGCTGGTCACTTTCCTAGAGAATATTAACCGCTTCAAACTCATATTTCCAGATATAATAGAAGGATAGAAGTGAAACCACGTGCTATATCTCACGCGAAACTGAAAAGGAATCGTTGAAATAGAAAACAGTAACCAGGTGCAAATATTTCAAATGCCTGAAAAGAAAAAAAAAATGAAAAAAATGAGTATTGATCTTGAAAAGTAGTAAAGAAAAATGAAAAAATAAAAAGGAAAATATTTCTAGGATAGCTTAAGGAAGCTTGCAACATTTTCGTTTACGTTCCCGGGAAACAACCACAGTTTGTAATGGGTTTGTGGGTGCAAAAGCAACATATAAGAAGTTGAAGTGGTAAGAATTACCAAACCACGGAGCAATCAGAAAAATGTGTGTGAAATTTATTGAATGTGAATTCACGCACACATCCAACAGCATATACAAATGAGACCCAAAATTTCGGCTACCTTACTCCAAACAATACCAAATCGCATATAGAGGATCAAAATGGTTCTACCTTAAAATCGAAGAGTGGTTGGACTTGGAGAGAGACTGGTGAATAGCCCACAGTCGCAGCTCCGGGCTTGGAAATTGCAAAGATGGAAACAGGAATATAGCGAGACGTCTCTGATTCGACAAATGGTCGTGTAAGACAGAGCGGTCTAAAGCGGGAGTGGATTTCGAGAGTTTGGCGCAAGGAGAAAGTCAAAGATGGAGGAGGGAGTGAAAGGGAAAATGAAGGTCGCGAGGGGATCAAAGCATACAAAATGGCTCTGCGAAGTAGAGAGCAGAGAGAGGGTTTTGGTTGGAGTGAGTAGCCGCAGCTGAGAGACAAACTGAGAAAGAGGATTATGGGCTGACCCGGGTTCTTTCAATTGAGTGGATTTTAGGCCGACTTTGAATAAAAACAGAGATTTGGGCTTTCTCTTGCTTCTTATTATTTTTATTTCAAAATTTTCTTTTGGTTATTTTTTAACAATTTTTTTCTTTTTCAATTTTTAATCTTTTTATTGTTGGATTTGAAAATCGTATAAATCTAAAATCAAATAATCATTATCATATTAAATCAAAATGATTAAATTTGTAATCGGAAGCATATTTAAATATATAGTGAAAAAAATCTCACGTGATATAATAGATATTTCAAATCAATACGTATCTATAAAATATTAATTTTTACTGCATAACATGAAATAAATAAGACACACATATAATTTAAAAATTATAACTACTTTTTATATTATCGACTTTTGTTATTTCTCATTTTATCTATTATAAAATAAAAAATTATAAATATAATATATACACATATTACAAACTCATATTTAAACAGGATACGTTAAAATCTATAATCGTTTAACCGTAATTAATTACTTTTAAACGAATTCAATAAATTAATAGTATGTTATGCATAACGAGATTTACTTGTTAATAAAAAAAATCTAACATTTATCTCACTCGTCCTGATCAAGGTTAATTATAAATTCATACTTAATTCTTAATTTCAGTAGTTATACCAATTTTAATATATATAGTTATAACATAGTTAATATTTTAAAAATCATAATTTATTGCATACAAGATTTTGAGTTATTACATTACTCTTTAAAATGGCAAAATCGTTCTTACTTTAAAATTATAAATTAAATTTTTAATATAAGATTTTCTAAAATGCTAAACTATACTTTATATATATATTAATAATATTAAACTTAAAAATAAAAATAATACAAAAAAAAGTGTGCATTGTGTTTCTTATAATTAAATCCAATGGTGTATACACACGTATATAGATTATGTGTAATAATATGAAAATAAAATTAAATTGAAGTGATTAAAACAGTTAAAATATTATTATTTGAAAAAAAAAATCAATCAATCAATTTTTTTATTGAGAATTTGTTGTCACAAAAGAAAAATAAATATGTATGGATTATATTGCATGTCAAGACAAATAATTCTACATAAATTTTATGTAGTTCATATATATATATTTATATGTTTAATTTTTTAATTATTAGAAGATAAAAAATATTAAACTATACGTTAAATTTTAATTTTCTTCGACCTATTAAAATTTGTCGCGAGCATAATCCACCCATATGGTATTCTAAATGCTAGATTCCCAGGAGCAGAGACTCGCAGGAAGGAGAAATGGCAAACCCTAGGAGGAATTCATTCTCAATCAGCCACAGTTTAGAGAACCAAAACTTGTCGTCTTCACTCTCCCTTGTGTTACACTTCTTGAAGAAGCCGCAGGCTTTTCCAATTTTGCTCTCAATCTTTGTTTTACTCACCTGGCTCTCTCTCAGATTGCAGCGCTCCGCTCAGTTCTCATCTCCTTCTAATCATCCGCACGATGCCCAACAGAAATGGAGCCATGATGAAGACGATGACAAGGCCAACCTTGTTAGATTTAAATCTGCAATCCCTTCTCTTATTCGCAAGGACAACCGTGGCTGGTTGCTTAATCCCGTGTCTCTTGCTATTGATTCTCGCATTCAAGGTTCCTCCTCTCTCTCTCTCTCTCTCTCTCTCTTTTTCTCTGTGTCACCAACATATATATATATATATATATATATATATTACTGACATGTCGAGGAAGAATTGCTTCACTTACTAGTCGGCTTCTTTAGGATTAAATTGTTTGCTTCATGTACGAATATTTAGTCGCTTTCTGTCTCGATGATTGCATACTATGATCAATTTTACTAATCTTAACTTTCTTCCTTCTATTGGATAGGATGACAAATGGTTTTAATATAAAAGAAAATTAATCGAATAGTTCAGAAATTTATTCAAATTCAATAAAATGAATATGTGCATATATGAACTTTAGTAAAAGTTGTAGTGAATGAGATACTAAAATTTCTGTGACTGGCTCAGGTGGAGCAATATCGTGTGTTTCAGTTCATCTTGGTGAAATCCGGCCTGGTGGAATGAGGGGAAACCACAGACACCATACCTGCAATGAGACTTTTGTTATTTGGGGGGCTAAAACCAAATTCAGGGTATGTTTTTTCTTTGCTATACTGCTAATACCACTCTGTTTATTGTCTCTGTCGCCACTAAATTACCAACAAGTATCTTTTTTTTCCCCAATCAGTGCATGATTGGCTGCCCTCACATAGACCTTTTCAGATTTTGTAGAACAACTTTTACTATTGAACTATTCAATGATGGTTGGTGGTGAAAGCCCATTTTGGTTGTAAATATAATCGCAACAAGCTGACTTCAATACTACCTTTTGTCATTTTGAAATGTTACTGAATTATATCAGTTCATATATTAATTTATTTAGAAAAAAATATATCAGTTCATGTATTAATGTAGTAAGGTATTCGGATAGAGAATCTAGTGCAAATATGTTTCTCCTGATTTTAGAGAGGCAAAATAAACCCTTTTGTTATGAATTCGGTACGTTGCAATGTCATGTATTTCTTCCATGAAAATATTCAATGCAGAAGAGGAGCCTAAATCATGAGGCTGTGATGCTCATTTAATAAGGTTATCCAATAGGTTGCAGTATCATGTATTTCTACGAACACATTTAGGCACGTCTTGGTTTGTGAGATAGATAAAAGATGACAGAAAAAGAAATCAGTTAAGAGGTTATTTAGATAAAAAATATGTTGACGATGCCGTGCATATGTTTCATATTTGTATCTTTCTGCATGAATCATTTGCAGCTGGAGAACAATCAAGTAGATAAAGGTTTTGCTGAAGTAATAGTTGGCGAGGACGAGGTCGCCTTGGCTGCTAGCTCCAGTGGAACTGCTCACGCCTTAGTAAATGTCGATCCTGTTCATAGCACATTCTTCATGGGGTGCCAAGACAGTGTGGTCAATTATAGTAGCTCCACTACTGATTTTAACGTGTGGAAAGATCTCTAATTATACTTAGCAGCCTAAATCCGTTGTATATGATTTTCTTTAGTATGTGAACTTGATCCAGAGGGTTTTTCTGACGCTACAACTACATCTGTATACACTACTCTCAAATGATTCTAATTATACGGAACGAATCAATTCATTTATTCTTTTAATACCTGAAGAATTGTGGATGACGGGGTCAACATTTTGGCGTACAAGTAATGAAAGTTACAGTCACAAGAATACTAGGTCACAGTTTTGTTCTTTTCAATTGATTTAAAGGATTCGCGTATCTAACCCGCTTTCTTTCCTTTGTTTTGAAGTTAGTTTTAGCTTAAAGAAAAGGGGAATCCCTATCTAGCAATGGAACTTAGAATTTATGCTAAACATATGAGCAATAGTTTTATGGTCATTAGATGTTAATATTTAAAGATTAATTATGTTTAAAAATTATAACTTTTAGTGATTAAAACATTGGTAATCATTACTAATATTATGGGTTCAACTTAAAAGAACACTCTATTTTGTACTCGGGAATATTATTGATAGTATCATTTACCTAGCTCCCGCAATCACGGAAGTCGGAAGACTTACATTTAAGTTATCAAAACTAGACCATTCTCATAACTTTTATTTTTGTATTATATTAGGAGTAAGACTGTATTCATCTGAATTTAGTTTGTATGGACAGATAAACAAAGGGCAATCTCAAAATTCAGGTAGTACAGATTGCTGTATCTGCTGCTAGCTATATACCTTCAACTGCTCTGGAAGTTGAAGCATTTGTTTGTTTGTTTTTTTTTTTTTTTATCCATTAATTCACACAAACTATTTCTATGCAAGCTTTCGGAGCTTGAAAGCCAGCCAATCAAGCACATGGCTCAACTTTGAAGTGAAGTCTAAGCCAATGCTATAAATAAAACTGATCAGACTGTATCAGAAGATCAGATGTCACTGAAGATGGCTGGAAAGACAAGTTTGGCAGTTCTGGTGGGATGCAATTACCCGAACAGCAGAAATGAGCTGCACGGATGCATCAATGACGTGTTAACCATGAAAGATATGCTCGTGAATAGATTCGGATTTGATGAACAGCATATTGAGCTGCTGATTGATGCACCAGGATCTGTGGTTATGCCCACTGGCGCAAATATTAAGGCTGCTCTTGGGCGGATGGTGGATGGAGCTGAAGCAGGAGATGTTCTCTTCTTCCACTTCAGTGGACATGGAACCAGGATTCCATCATTGAAACCCTTTCGCCCTTTCAGACAAGATGAAGCAATTGTTCCCTGTGATTTCAATCTCATCACCGGTATTATTCTTCTTTTGTTTCGCCTTGTCTTATACTTCTTTTGTTTCACTTCGTTTTTTCTTTTTCTTTGAAAAATTATTTAAATAATACATCAATCTCAAATAAATACAACAGATTGTTAAAATTTCAAATCATATATTACTAATAATTTAAGTTTTTAAAAATTAGTGATTCGAATTCAAAAAATTATTAGATCAATGGTATTTCGATTCGAAATATTATAAATGATATCAAAATACATGTTGTTTCGATGATATTCTAATTCGTAGTAATTTTAAATTTTATAAATTTTTAAAATTTAAAAAATATATAATTATTAAATTGTATATAAATATTGAAATAAAATATTATTAATAACTTGAATTTTTGAAGATTAATAATTTTAGTTTAAAAAATTATTATCTGAGTGATCCTTAAACCTAAATTGTTATAAATAGTATAAGAGTACGTTACAAATTCAGTGACATTAGAAAGTGCGATTTTGAACCTTGTTGATCTTTCAATTTAGAAAAATATTTTCATTCTTGACTTTGATATAAATATTTACTTCACAAATTATATAAATAATTTGAGTTTTTTTATAAATTTTGATGCTCCATCCCCAGGGCATTATAACATCTTCAAATCTGTTTCTTGATAAATATATTTTTGTGTTAGCATTTGGTTAAAATTCTCTTTTATCTTCAGATATTGACTTCCGCCAACTAGTTAACCGCGTGCCAAAGGGAGCAAGCTTCACCATTCTTTCAGATTCTTGCCACAGTGGAGGTCTAATCGACAAAGAAAAAGAGCAAATTGGACTTCTCTCTCTTTCAACAGATAAAAATTTGGGCAACAGGACAAATCATGTTAATTTCTCCAAGCCAAGAACTCTTCCATTTCAAGCCGTGATGCACCACCTAACCTCACTGACCCGCATCAACACGTCCGACCTAGCCACCCATTTGCTAGAGTTGTTCGGCGCCGATGCCAGTCTGATGTTCCGACTATCGCCGGTGGAGCTGGGACTGAAATGGCCGGAAAGAGACGGCGATGAGGGAATTCTACTAAGTGGGTGCCAGGCAAAGGAGACATCGGCGGACGTAAACGCCGGAGGAAAGGCTTATGGAGCTTTCAGCAATGCGGTGCAAATGGTGTTGAAGGAAGAAGAAACTGGTTCGTTGAGCAATAAACAAGTTGTGATTATGGCTAGGAAACTTTTGTGGTCACAAGGATTTTCTGGTCAACATCCTTGCCTTTATTGTGCTGATTATAATGCCGATGCTTCTTTCCTACTCCAATCTCATTACTAGCCATACTACACCCACCAACAATGTCTATTTGTTTATGTATGTGGGTGGGTGCTGAAGTTTGCTCTGTATGATTAAATGTTAATGCTTCCAGGAATAATAATTGAACTGGGTGTGTGCAGATTTCACTTAAATATTTAAGAGGCAGAGAGGTTCTGTGTATCTGCACACGTATATATATGTATATCTATTCACTTTGCATAAACATATTTGTAGTTTGGTAGCACAATTAATTTGCAGACAAGTAATGAAGATTTAACAAAGTGAGGTTCTCCCAAAAGTGATTGTGTTAACAGCAAAAAGAAAGAAAAAGGCAGAGGCATGCATGCTTTGGTGGGGGGAAATTTTCACTTTTAGCAGCTGTGCTTTTTAGTTTTTTTTCACATTCACATACAATACATATATATATATATATATAGTATTAATTGTTGCAGACACATCAAATAAATAAATATAATTAAGCATTTAGAAATTTGTTTTATTATATGTTTAATAATTACTTGTAATTTATAAAAATAATATTTTGCGTGTGTTGTGGCGAAACTAATTGGAAAAGGGGAGGGAGTGGCAGTGGCAGTGAATGAGTAAATCCAAAGCTATTTATTTATGTTTAAAGAAAAAGAGAAAAGGAGAAGAAAAAAAAAAAAAAAGTTAAAGGGATGGATGGGAAGCAGTACTTGTTGATAAATCAAATTAAAAAAATAAAAAAGAAAATCCACGTGAATTGTCTCAATATCATTCTCACAATTTATTACCGTTACACCCCGAAACTTCATTGCGTTTCCATTACAGACCCCTTCAGAACATCCGCCAACACAGACACACACAGTCGTTTTCTCATCATATACGCAGCAATTCAACGGGAAGAAGAAGAAGAAGAAGAAGAAAAAGAGACGGGAGATGAAGAATTTGGTGTCGACTTCGTCTTCTTCTTCCTCTTCTCTTCCGGAAAATCAGAATATTAAGTGTAATATTGGATGCATGTCTGGAATTTTCTGCCTCTTTTCCAATTATAATAGACGATATCGCCGCAAATCCCTCACGTTTGGTACTGTATCTAAACTCTTACTCCTCGCAATTAACAACTACTGTTTGTTAAGAGTTAGTTGTAAATAGTAACTGCTTTGAATTCGCTACTTGTTTCAACTGAATCGATGGAATTTATCAGGAAGACGGCATCAAGAAAAGAGCCGTCCCTGTGAAGGCAGACAAACAGAAGAGAAGACGGCAAAACGGAAACCGAGGTTACGGAAAGAAGAAGAAGAAGAAGAAGCAAAGATCGTGGAGGTAAGATTGGTGTGCGGTGAGGTGCAGAGGAGTCCGACGCTGCCAGCAGAGATGAGGCGTTCGGTGGATTCGGATGATGATGCCGCAGTTGCAGCCGAGAAGAGAAGGAAGCAGCTGGTTGGAGCGCTTGAGAAATGTGACCGAGATTTGAAAGCGCTTCAGAATATAATCGACGCTGTTAAGGTTGCTGTTGGTGTTGATTGCAATCATAATTATGATGATCTTCTCCAATGTCGACAAGCGCCTAAATCAATCATGAAGAATAGTTATATGCCAAATGCACCTACAAACTGCTATGTGAAGCTCCAATCTCACCGCCACCGCCACTCCATCCATCACTACTTCAGTTCTCATGCCAAATCCAACCAATGCGATTTCACTCACGGTGCACGTTTCTTCTTCTTCTTCTTCTTCTTCTTCTTCTTCTTCTTCATTTTAATGTCTGCATTAAATGATCTACATATGTTCAATATACTCACGCTTCCTTCTTTAATTCGTTGCTTCACATTGACAATCAAATCTTAGTGACAATAAAACTTTTACACCCCAAATTACATCAATAAACTGTAATGCGGGAAAAAGTTCTTTCAAGAAATCATAAGTCCAAAAATTAGGACTTAGCTAGCGCTGAATAGTATATTCTCTGACGTTACAGAATGTTTTCATTTTAATTCTTGTTGAATTATTTATCTTATTCCCTTACTTAATTAGCTAGATTAATCATTTTGTCTGGATAATTAGCTAGATTAATCAGAATTAGGTCATAGTTTCAGAATTTGAATTAATCTCACAATTTTTTAGTGACTGGAGTTTTAGGATTCCAAAGTTTAACAATGATGGCAACATTTGTTTGCCTGTGGACCATTATGAATATAAATAGACTACCAGTCCCCAGTCCACAGTCCTCAGTCCAGAGTCCAGAGAGAGTGGGAGGCATGAGTCCTTATTATAGTGCTTTTTTGGCATGATGACAATACCGCATCATGCCATTAGCCATTTTGCAATATGACTGACAGCTGTTCCAATATTAACCACCTCATTACTTGCATTTTTTACAATATTAATCTATAAATCTAAACTATTCGTCGATTATTAAAACTAAGAAGATATTAGATTAGTGTTTACGAAATTTATGTTTTATTCAAAAATTAGGAGTTTAAATATTCTCTTATATAATAAATAATATTTTTATTAATAATCGAGAAAATTTAGAGTTAGAACAATAAAAAAAAATAATAATGAATTTCAATAAAGAATGCAATAACATATCATTTATTCCTTATACAAAAAAAATAACTTGCTGTAGTTGGAAGTAAAACCTTTTTTGATTAAACTAATTGAATGGTTGAGGGATTTGAGGGAGTCAAAGATGAAAATAAAAGAGATATTATTTATAGACAAAAAAGAACAGAAGGAATAATTGACTTTTTTTCTGTTTTTGCTTTACGAGCCGAAACCTCCCTGCCCACAGTTGCACGGTGTACACAGAGCACTAGTTTTATTATATAAACAGTTTTATTTTTCTCACGTCTGTCTCCTACGATGATGTATTTTTAATAGATCCAAACCAGCTTTAATATATTCTAATTTTATTCAAATGCAGATTATTCTCGTAAAAAATGTTCGTCTTTAAATACTAGATAGTTTGTTTTATGTAGGAGTGATGTTCCAGCAGCAACAACAGAAAGAAGCAGGGGAAGACATGGAATGCGATTCTGATAAATGGGTGGAAAATGCTAGGCGGATGAGAGGGAAAGCCATGGTGGATTGTGTAAATGAAGTATGTAAGGATATGGCTTGGGGTGAGAGCCGGGAGATTGGAAGAGTAGGATTAGCTTTACAAAATCATATTTTAAAAGATTTGATTCAAGAATTTCTTACTGATCTCGTCGTCACTACTTCAACTACTATTTCTTTACCATTTGATGCATGTAGAAGAAGACTATCCTTTTGATTTATTCATATTTTCTTCTCTTTTTCTCCAATTTCCGAACATGTTCTTTTATTTTTTTTCAGGTGTCATTAATGTTTGTGTATTTGGTTGAGTTTGGCATGCTATTTTCTCCATTCTTTATTGCTTGTCCGGGTCATGCGTTGGGCAGGAGAGGGATGGGGGTCAGATAAGCCGAGCCATGGCCCATGTCAACGACTTCAATAAGACTTTTATGGGCCACAGCCTGTAAGATGGCCTCCCGGCCCGAACTTTTGTGAAATCGATATGACCCAGCCCGGTTGGAACCGAGCGGCCCATTTTGACAGGGCCGTGGCGGGTCCAAGAAGGAAGGTCAAAGGGGTAATTTTGCAAGGAAAAGTTGCAATGGATTCTTTCTATAAGAGCGCCGAGGAAAAGTGCGGGAGGAATTTGGGGGTCCCAACGTGGCAGTCAACGTTGAGATGGGTGATCTCATCTTCTCCGCGTACATACCGCGTAAACGCGTACCCCAATTATAGTTATTGGCCTTTTTTTAAAAAAAAAAAATAATAATAATAATAATATTTTATTTTAGTACTTCAAACAAAATAGACAATTCTTGAGAATCGGTTTTTAACGCAACAAAATTAATAAACAAACAAAAAAGCCAGCGATAATTACTACCGACCCGTATTTTCTTAGAACCACTCTTCTTTTTCTTTTTCTTTCTATTTTTGTGTTTACGATTTTGCCCTTCGTCCCCAGTATCCCAGATTTGGCATTTAGATATTTTGACTGGAAACCTTCTTGTCTCCATGACACCGTTGATTGACATTTTTCTCAATCATATATTCCTAGGTAAAAATATATATATATATCTAGAGAGTACTCCAAAAATAATACAAGTAAAATTAATTTTTAATTTCTATTTTCATAATTAGTTAGCACAAGTGTTTTGACAACACTACAAAAAGAAAGGAAGGGTAATATAGTCATTTAACGAATTACAATGTCAAAATAGAGGAAAAGGGAAAAAGGGCAGGGTAAAATGGGGAATTCGAGATGATGTGGATTTGATAAATGGCGAGGATTTTTATTTTTCAAAGGGCTCAATTTTTCTGTCTCTTTCTCTCTCTTTCCCTCTCGCTCGCATTTTCTTTTTAAGTCTGCCTAGGAGGTTTATCTTCGGAATCGGGTACAAAAAAATCTAAAGGGAAGGAAACGAGTGAGTTCTGAAGGAAAACAAATGGCAGATCAACTTACCGACGACCAGATCTCCGAGTTCAAAGAGGCCTTCAGCTTGTTCGACAAGGATGGCGATGGTTAGTCTCTCTTTCATTTCCATGCTTATCCGTTGATCGGTTAATGAATCTTTCTCGCTAGATCTCCTCTTTTTCTTACTGATTCATACGATTGTTTTCGTTTTTTTATAAATCCCGCTTCTGTTTGGTTCTTTGTTCTTGATCTATTCAGGTTCTGATTTCTTTTTTTTGTTTTTGTTTTTTTCCAATCACTTTTTTGTTCCACTTATTTAAGCTTAATAAGACAAAACAACATTTGAGAACAGGAACGAAAAACTCGCAATACATTGGTGTTTTTAAATATTGAGATATCTGCTTTTTGTCTGATAATTTTTTTGAAATTTTGCTGTGTAATTGATCTACCTAGCTTTGGATAATGAGAAGAAATAAGATCGAATAATCCATACAGCTCAAACATAGATTTAAGCAAACTGTATTCTTGTTTTATTTAGTGTCAAAATGGGCAGACCTTTGTTACTTCGTTGGAAAGTGGATGTAAAACATAAGCCTGAAAAATGAATCTTTCTCAAGATCTCGTCATTCTCATCTTTGAGCCGCCAAACTGATATTGGGATGTCAGTTCCCGAAGTTTCTCTTTATTGTATGAAACCATGTGCAGGTATACCCGTTGATTTATTTACTTTTTCTATATATATGGCCCGAATCACAGTGTTCCCGAGATGCTTAATTTCTCCCGACTTTCCCTGTTCTTCTCCGTTACCACAGAGGTTGTGTTCGTTGTTTCTAGGCTTATTTTTTGGCAACGGTTCTTTGAGTATCGGCAGCTTTGTATCTTGGTGAACGCATTACAAAACATTGTTTAATTTGCTGCTCTCTGTGGTAGGCCGTCTGCTTTTTATGTGGTTCATCGCAGTTACTATATTATTTCCATAGGGGTGGCTTAATTTCATGTTATTGTGGCTTCATATTTTCCTATGTTGAAACTTTTTCCTGTTTAGCGTTTAAATTCAGACTCTGAACCATTTATCTGTTTTGTCAATGGATGCCTCTATTCTTCTTGTGAATCTGATTCTTGGAGTTTTGATTCTTCTTCTGAATCTTGAGTTTTATGGAAAATTGATGTCTATTTGTTCCTGAGTAGGAAACTAGAGATTAACCAAAAGGAGAAACATAAATTAAACATTGTGGTTCTTGGTTTATTGAAATTTTAATAGCTGCATGTTCTTATACACGCAAAAATAATATTCGTGTTTAAAATTTTGCTTCATAACTTTCTCTTTGTATCTTAGCATTTCCAGATGGCCTGTTATTCATATGTTGCCCTAGTACTTGCTGTCTGATACCATTTTGGAGATGTTGGAACTGCAACATCTCGGTATGTGCTGTTAGATGCAAATGTTAACAGCGATCTTATGATGATTTGCAGGTTGCATCACCACCAAGGAGCTTGGGACTGTGATGCGGTCGCTGGGTCAAAATCCCACTGAAGCCGAACTCCAAGACATGATTAACGAAGTGGATGCTGATGGTAATGGGACTATTGACTTCCCAGAGTTCCTAAACCTGATGGCTAGGAAGATGAAAGATACTGATTTTGAGGAGGAACTGAAGGAGGCTTTCCGGGTTTTTGACAAGGATCAGAATGGTTTCATCTTTGCTGCTGAGCTGCGCCATGTGATGACAAACCTCGGGGAGAAGCTTACAGACGAAGAAGTCGATGAGATGATCAGGGAGGCTGATGTTGATGGTGATGGTCAGATAAATTATGAGGAGTTTGTGAAGGTTATGATGGCCAAGTGATACACGTCTCTCCAAGAACCTAAAGCTAAAGCTGTATGATGGATAAAGGAGGAAAAAAAAAAAAAAAAAAAGAAAAAAAAAGAGAGAGAAGGAAAAGGAGAACAACGTTGACTAATATTATGCAAGTATGTAGTTTTCCTTTCTACAATTTTTATTTAATAGTCTTAAGATTGATGATATCGATATTGATGTTGGATATTGATGTGTCTTGTAGTGGTGGTGAAATGTTTTGGTCTGGTATTTTAATGTGTTTAGTTCTTTAATTTTTACTTTTGGTTGTCTGCTGTGAACCTGAACTTACTTGGAAACCTTCAATCTTCTACTATGGAAGGATGACCCGTTCTATCATTTACCAGTTGAATCCTCATTTATTTTGCTCTTACTAGTTTGATAATGGGTTTTAATTGTATTTCTATTACTATTTTGACTACATCCCAGTTGCCAATCTTGAAGCTTTCTATGATTATGTTAATTTTCAAACATAACTTGAACAGTATAACAAGAAGACTATTCTTTGACTGACATGCATAGTAAATTCGTATCTAATGAAATTTTTTTAAAATTTATTTTATACCTAATCTAAATTTTTTTTTAAATGTAGAATCAATAATCTCTTCAGCCAATAACAGAGGAATGAGTTTTAAATTGGGTGTAGGTAAAGCCAATCATCAAGAACATCTGCACCCAAAAATGGCATCAGTTTGCTTGAATAAAAAAAAAAAAAACACACGCATTTCTCAATTTCACTACTTAAATGTATGCTCTATAACACACAATTCAATAAATTTCTATTTTGATCCTGTCAATGCACTTGTTTTGCAACTTACTTGCTAACTTGAGAATCCAACATCTATGAATCTGAAATTAGAATAAAAATTGAGAAGTTTAAAGCAAATAGATCAGAAATGTGTTAGAGAAAATAAAAAAGAGAGGAAAACAAGACTCAAAAACAAGAATTCATTGAGTTGCTCCCCCTCATTCCACTTTCAAGAATTTGTACAATCTATTCTATAAAAATAGTCTTAACTCATATTCAAATTTAACTTATTCAAAGTTTCACTAATTGAAAAAATAGTCTCCGAACATTTAAGAAAATAGAAGAGTCAAGAATATATTCAAATCAAAAATAGGATGTTGATTTTTATATACTCTTGTTCTTCTTATGAGGAAGGTACGACATATATATAATTTTTAATCTCATAATAATAACTATCATCTGCTCAAAATATAATTTTTTTAAAGTCAAATCTTTGTATTTTAAGGTTTATTATCATGATTACAGTAATATGTACAAATTATAATGTACTACATGTTTTAAAATTGTCGTTAAAATATGTCTATGTTAAAAGACTCACCCTCTATTTTGAATCATGGTAAATTGTACAATTTTAATGTATGGTATTTTATGGACGTGAGAAAACCGTGTTTGTTTCAACTTTCCAATGGTAAACAAATAGTATTTAACTGACAAAATTTTGGAGTGAATTTTTAAACCACAAAATTGGTGGTATTTGGTGATATTTTATTTATTTTTATATATTTCCATCTAATTTAATATTA